CGATTACGTAAATAGTATTTGAAAAATTGTAGACAATATTTGTCAATCAAGAGATGTAATTTTAATTAGTCGAGAGCTCAGTTGGTTGAGTTCTTTCACCTCCATTTATGTGTATGAAGGTTCAAAATCTCTAACCACCCAATGAATATTTATGTAAATTCTCATCTCCCAATCGCTTGTTACTAAATTTTTTTTTAGTCCGTACTGAAGTTACTAATCATCACGGGAAGGTCACCAATCCTTCCAAGTGAATAATGCTTACTTTTTATTTTGAAGTACGCAGGGATGGTTGTTTCATACACAGCTTACAACTCATGTGATGCGAAAGAATTTTCTTCACAAGGATATGATGGTAAAATCGTTAAAACGGACCCAGCTAGATCTAGAAGAGAGAGGAGCGCGTGGCGAATAGCAACTCCCCCGACGAAGAATGTGAACAAAATGAATGCGAGGGACACGACTGATGACGTCAGCAGACAAAGTGGGGACATATGACGTGGCGAAGTGGGACCACAGAGTTCATCCATGCTGACGAACCGGGTCTTTAAAAAATAAATAAATAATGGTTAATCACAAAATTAATGAATTACAAGACCATGATGAGGTTTCAATTTAAAGTATAAATCTGATAACATTTCACTTTCACTTGTTTCTCTCTCCCTCTCTCTCAAGTATGATAATGACTTGCATAAAATGAACTTAGAGCATCTCCAAGGGAAGAGGTAAAGGAATAGGCAAATCTCATTTGTCTTACCACATCAGCATTTTCATGCTAAGGGAGGAGGCAAATGGGTAGGCAAGTTGACTAGAGCGGATATGCTCCTCCAATAGATTCTAAATTAAGGGACCTAATTAGGGGCCCTCCTCCAACAACGTCATTAATTAAACTTTTGTGATCGTTTTCATTCTGATTTATCATATCTACCCAAACAGGAAAGGTTATGAAAAAACACTTATACTCAATTTCAATTGAACTACTTTGATTGAAATATATCATTGCAACCAAATCTCATAATTGCATAATATCACATAAATTCCACTTTGACAATCTGGTGCATCAAAATTCAAACGCAAAAGAGCACGCAATACATAAACTAACTCTCATTTTGAACCTTTTTTTTTTCCTTCCCTACATGAGTTTGTTAATGCAATCATGTTGGGATGAAAGTAGATTATATCAAATTTTAATTACCACACGAATTTACTTCACTGTAAAAATATATCGACATCACTATCATCAAAATTTACCTCTCTTTCACTTCTATCCCAGCTTGAGTTATCAAGCTGCCAGGGCCATGCCTTCTCTGTGTCCAATGGTACCTGGGGGCAAAAGGCTGAGCTCTCATTGATGCTAACATTATCTTCAACGAAATGAGCAAGGCTTCTTGCCTGACTGGAGTCGTCTAGGATTCTTTCGTACTTATCGTTGTCGTAAGTAAGAAGGCGGGAAGATATGTCTTCCTGTTCTGGTAATTGTAGAGCATGAAAAGTTGATGAATAATACTCTCTCCAGGAACCACTGAATGGAAGGAGAGATTCTGTATTAGGAAGATAGTGCTCTTCATGGATGATCTTGCTCCTAAACCAATGGTCATTTTGGACAGAAAATATGGTGCTGCCAACTTCACAGGCTGTGTCCTCAATGCAGTCTTCAGTCGGATTAATAAAGTTCGTTAGACACGACAAGGTTAAGGGAATTTGGGGGAAACCTGATCGTATATCGTCGTTGCCTTCAAGACAATGTCTTGGAACTTCATGGTTTTGATAACTGGCTAAGGATGCAGATCTGTGTTCAGCTCCATATCTTGATAAGTCAGATGAATTTCTATCTTCTTTCGTGCTGCCAAAATCCCAACCCAGCAGAGGAACGGCTAGCTCTCTTTTGATCAAATATTCATCTGGCTGACAGAATGCATCCATCTCTTTGACATGTCCAGATGACACTAATCCATATTCTTTGAATGGAAGGACAGATTGTGAGTCACTCTCAGTGCATGAAATTGATCTTCCTCCTAGTAATTCAGACTCAGGTTCCCATACTCTGTACTGAAGATGATTCTTGTAAACATAACTAGTTGGAGAATCGGAACAGAAAATCCTCTCTCTTGATCTCTTGGACCAACAAGACGGCATCAAATCATGTAAGCAAGGACCACAATCAAGTTCCATAAAGTTTCTAGTAGGTGTCCATGGAAGTTCCTTGAAGTCAATATCTGACTCATAAGATGGAAGTGACATAGCCTTGCTATTGGTCTCTGCTTGCGTTAACTTTGGATCCTTCAATTTCTGGAAGAGCAAGTACTTTTCATAGTAATTGAAAACCACGAAAACGTGTAGAACCAATAATCCACATAAAAAAGGTAATAGAGGATACATTGTTCTCATTGCACTTGGGGACCAGCCGGCTGAGGAGCATAGAAACAAAATCGTACCTGCGAAAATATGATTGAATTCTCAATAAGATACATAAAGAAAGCAAAAGAACTTATTGATCATCATATGTCTAACCCCTTTGAGAAGAGTTCATCAATTTCAGGAAACGAAGTCTCTGTGACCCACTGACGTAGCTTCTGTCTCTTCCTATAAAAAACGTCTGCATGCCTGTTTTCAGTTTCTGCCTCTTCAAAATGGGTAAATCTTTTTCCTGAATGATTCAAATTAACTTAACAGTGTCAACCCAAGATGCTTAAACATTCTTGATGTTTACCTAATCAGAACTGAAGCAGATGGAGCAGATGGAAAGAAAGCAACAAGCTAGGCTTCATTGGGTCATGAAGTAGATGGAAAGAAATAAATTTTGGAAGGTTAATGTAAAGATTTTTCCAATTTGTAAGATTCATATTTCCTTTCCCTCCATCTCCTTAGCCACCAAATAAGTATAACAAAGAATGTAGAGGTTTCACATACAAATTTCCTTTACCTTTATTTCTCAAGGAATTTTCATATTCCTCCACCATATCGTTCTGTTTTCTGTGTACACCCTCTAAGGTTGCACAAGCTCTCTCCACATTTAGCTCTGCACAAAAGGAAGTTGCACTCGTGACTTCGATGTTAAAGTACACAGTTTTTGGCTTAACTTCACAATATAAGCATGCCCGAATTTTTCCATTAAGGTTGAAAGCAATCCAAATAGGCATATAGGACAGACTCCAGTCAAAATTATATTTAATAGAATGATTGCCACACCAGTTTCTGCAGTATGCTTGACTATGCCTCTTTACATTGAAAACCTCAGTTTTTGATGCACTGCCAAGTCCAGGTGGTAGGAGAATGAATGAGCCAAACTTACCCGGTGTAGCATTTTCGTTTAGAAACGAAGACCTCACGTCCACTCTCTTATTCTGGACCATGTTGACCCTCTCTGCACAGCAGGCAATTCATCATAAACCAATTGACCAAATGTAGATTGCTATAACGCTATAATACACTATTTTCAGAGTTTAATAATTACCTCTGGAACAGTCCCTTGACTTGGAATTGTTTGTTTGGTAGGCCTCTTTATGCAGAGAATAAGAATGAGCTTTGTGGCTTGCACCTTCCTTCAATTTCTTGAAGAAGGCGTACTCGGAGGTCTTGGCATTATCAGCTGATTTGATACATTTTGCATCAGATTATTATCATTTCAAACAAATTTCAATCTCCCAAAATAATATATGACAAATTTGAGAACTTGGAAGGTGTAACATTTTGAAAAAACGTACCAAATTCACATCTTGGGGGTCTCTGATCCTCGTTGTCAAGATTTATAAATTTGACTCTTTTCTTGCAGCTAATGTCTACAAGGAGATGAAAAACTTAAACATGAGCATTCAAATTCAACTTCGACGCACTTAGAATCAAAATTTCAACATATTCAAAGCTAATTAGGCGACTAGTGCTAGGGTTTTGGGATCGACCTGCGGTTCTCGGCGTCGTTGTGACGGGGAATCGGGAATCGGAGCTCCGAATCCCATGAAACTCTCGATGTGATGGAATTCGGATCTGCAGTGGATCTTTGGGGTTAGGTTCGGAAGTCTTGCGCTTCATTGTGCCCTAACGTAGATTAAGAGGTCCGTGATCAGCATCATCAGCTAAAACCCTAGCTTCGTTTTCGCGTTTTGAAGAATTGTAACGTTTCGTTAGGCAATGGCGGTTGAATACCGAGGAGAGCTGGAAGAGGGGCATTAAGGCGCCAAAACGGCACGTGATACGGCCTTTTAAATATCTGTATATTTTTGGCATTTCTTGACTGTTGATGATCTTTTCTTTTCTTTTCTTTTCTTTTTTCTTCACAAATTAATAAAACATTACTTTTTCTTTTTAGGAAAATAAAACATTTCTTAAGAAGGCAAGAATACATTTCTTCTTATGTCCCCTTTTCTTCCCAGTGTGTGTTTGAAATGTTTTGAAAGTAGTAAAAGAAACACAAAATTAGTGACTATTCGGTGCAGTAGTGCAAATTTGAGTTCAAATCTTATAAACGACACTTCCTACTTAATTAGACGATATTAGAAAACTTAAAATCTAAATTAAGAAATTGCATTCAAGTTTAAGAATCATATTTAGTTTTTTTTTTATAATGTTTAGAATTGTAATTTTTTTTTTGGACAAAGTTTAGAATCGTATTTAATTATAAGGAAATATAAATTTTATTTTATTTCATGAATATATTTAAAATAATTTATAAAAACAATATATTTTAAATAAAAATGTTAATTTGTACAACTATTTCCAATAATTAAGCAATTATGAAGTGGAATGCAATAAATAAATTCTTTATTTTTCTTAGAAAAGTTCAATTTCATTATTTAAAAGAATTTTCAAGAGAAGAAAAGGGCAAAAATGAAAAGAAAAGAAAAGGTTGGTTTGGACCACTCAGCAAGTACGCAGGCAAGGATGACATGTAATCACATATTATCCAAACAAAAAGGATATGGTGCATAGGTGTCAGCACCCTAGTGGAGGCAACGATTTATTATCTCACGTTTGCAGGATCAGATAATTGTTTTCCAACAGAGAGCATAGAAATTCAGCACTCATTCATTCAAAGCCTCTCATGTTTTGGTGGTCTTAATTATAGCCATTAACTTTTTAGTCTTTCACAGCCAGCAAGAGAGAGAGAGATAGAGAGCATAGCAGCAGCAAGCAGCACATAACTTAACACATATTGCTATGGCTAGCTGTGGCATGGCATCAGCTGCCTCAGGCTTTGTTGTGGCACCAAATGTTGCAGCAGCCAACAACACAGGCTCTGCTTCCAGCAGAAGTAGCATGTTGTTTTTCTCTTCAAAGCCCAACACCAACACCAGAAACAATGCTAGGTTTGTGATCAGGGCAGCTGATGAAGCAGCTGCTGCCCCACCAGCAGCCACCAAGGAAGCACCAGAGGAGGCAGCTCCCCCAAAACCTAAGCCACCTCCAATTGGACCCAAGAGAGGCACCAAGGTTAGTTCATGTTAAAAAATAGAATTCTTTTTCAAATTATTATTTGAGTGAATTGTCAATAGTTTTGTAGTTGGAATTGCTGAATTGAGAAACCAAATTAAACTCAGAAAAAAGAAAGAATGAAAATCACTAGAAACCAGGACAAGCATCAGTTAATTTGTGTGTCCTGAGATATGATAATATGTTATAGTGGCCAGAAATATATGTTCTTTTGTACAATGAAATGGTCTTGTTTAGTTTTAGTTGCATAAACAGAAATTTCAGAGGACCCCAAATGAAAATATAAAGCTTCTAAATTGTTTGGTTTGTTTGGGAATTGCTGAATTGGAAAACCAAATTAAACCCAGAAGAAAAACTAGCAGAAGGATCAGTTGATATGTTCTAGTGGCCAGAAATATATATGTTCTTCAGCGCAATAGACTGGAGATATTGAGTCACTGACTAATTTGAATCTTTCACTGACTTTGCAGGTGAAGATTCTTAGGAGGGAGTCCTACTGGTTCAAAGGCATTGGATCTGTTGTAGCTGTGGATCAGGTCTGACTTCTCACTTGTCTCTCAATTAAGACTAACATGAAATGAGAAAAGGGTCTGCTTAAGTTGTTAATTTGCTCTGTTGATCTTCATTTTACAGGATCCCAACACCCGTTACCCAGTCGTCGTTCGATTCAACAAAGTTAACTATGCCAATGTGTCCACAAATAACTATGCTTTGGACGAGATTGAAGAAGTTAAATGAGTTTTTAGTAGCTTTGTAAATTGTGATCTTAATTCTCCTTCTATCAGTTTCTTCCTTGTTTGTGCCTTTATTGTGTATCCATACTCTGTGATTTCTTCCACCCTTTCTTAGTTAAGTTTCAATCACTGTTTGCCAAAAGTCCAAATTGATATTATTCATAGAGTATATAACATATATATTGTTCTTTCTAGCTTTTTCTTCAAAACAAGCAGGTGGAAAGTTGCTCAAACCAACTCATTCAAATCAAGATAACTGTTAACTCCAAAAGAAAAAGAAAAAAAAGAAAGCCGACTCGGAAAATGGCAATTCAACATTCACAAGGCTTGATGTATAGATTAGTTTAAATTGTTTTTGGACAAAACAACTCTTTTCTCTGTCAACTGTCCTCAAATCCCCCATTTTGGTTGCTTCCTTATCATTGCATGCATATATAGCAGGACCTGTTAGCCACATAGAAGCTGAAAACAATTCCAAACAGGATTTTCCATTTCCCCATAGACAACTCTGGCATTAGGAAGTTTTATCAGAACATATATGTGCGTTCCTAAACCCAACTCTGACATTTCAAGTTATCAAAAAATTTTGTTTCAGAATCTCTAAACCCTTGTTGGCACCAGAAAGTATGTTTAATGTGTTTGGTCGAAACGAAAAACCATGCAAGAGAGTTGGCTGAGAAGCCAAAAGATAAATATGCTTTCTGAAATAGCTGCATATTCCATATCATGCCTTTGATCCTACTGCAATATTCAAAAGGCAAAAGAAAACAGAGTTTTATTTCTAAGGAAGGCCTGACCACATAACAAAGAAAATGGAAGTATATATATTAGAAATAACCTATCACATTACAAGATTTCAAGTAATCCAGAACTAGAAACTAACCTATAACACAAAATATTTTCTTAAACTCTTCCATCAAACCCATCAAGAAGACCAGACCACATTCCCTTTACAGGTGGTAGCTGTGCAACAAAAGCATTCCAAGGCGGGTAGCCAATGCCACTGCCACGAACACGACCATCCAGGCGAAGAGATATATACCTGCAGACAAACAAAAAGATGCACAATTTCCCAAGAAGCGATCTTGTGCTAATATTCCCAAGAACATAGACTGATTGTTGAAAAAAAGGAGTTCACGAATTCAAGCCCAAATCAGCTAATAAACTATATGCTTGAAACTCAAAAAGGAAAAAAGGGAAAGTCTTGTCAATGGCAAGAGCGAGCATAAGGCACTTGTAGACTCAAAATCCAATGATCTTTGAACTTTGATTAGTGGAATTAAAGAAAGAAGTAAGCCTGGAGAAAACACTTACACAGGAGAGTCAGAGGAGACGCCTGCCAGCTTCTTTTGCTCATCTAACCACCTACCATTTACAAGGAAAAATAAAAGTGCGTGAAGAAAGAGTAAGAACAACTTAAAGTTGAACAAGTTTATATTGTTTTGAACATGGTTTACTTACTTGGTCCATTCAGGAATATAAATTGGTGTCAGCTGCCATAGTCTTTTCCTCTTTGCAGTAATCTCCTTAGTCTCTTCACTTTCTTCAAACTCAAAACTAGGTAAGTTTCCATCTGTAGGAAAGGGCACCACGAGCACCCCTCGTTCCACAAGCCTTTCAGTGTAGGGTTCACTTTGATTAAAAGCTTCTGTGATGACTGATGCAGGGCCTGCACATATTACAAGCCGAGCAATCCCTCTCAAAGAGCTAAGAGGAATGACCTTCTTTTCATCAACCCTGAGCTTAAGATTCGAAAGGTTTTCCTCTCTTGAGAGCCTAGCAATCTGTGCATTCTTGGCCTTGTTCTCTCTCAAATACAAGAATGCAAAGAGAGACACTGCTCCAAGGTCTATCCCAAGACCCTTCGCAATTTCAGGGGCATCAAGTGCTCTTGATGGGTTTGTTAGTGCTGCAATTAACTGTGTGGTTGCTATGAGTCCTCCTAAACCACCACTTGCAATGAAAGCAAGATAGAAAAACATCCGAACGGAGCGAAAGGGAGTGAGAACTTCACTCCTAATCCTGGCTGTGGAACTGTGAAGCAAACAAAACTTTGATTACAAGGAAGCCTGATGTGTAAAACATAAGCACATACAGCATAAGGCATTGGAAGGCAAAGAACCCAAATCAGCAAAGATGCTGAAAATTCGAAACAACCCCATTCCTTAGTGTATCTACTTCATTTTAGAACCAGTTCCATGAATGACAGAAGTAGGTAGAATTAGCCCAGAAATGAGAAGTAAAAATTGAAACCAATAATCACTAGAGAAATAAGTTGTTACAGTTAAATTGCAACACTATGGCACAACCACAAATCAAAGCCTTTTTTTGTTGTTGTCATTTTGTCATATCCAAATCCAATTATCCAAGAAAACATTAAGATATGGTGGAGCTCAATTCTATCATATGGAACAATTAATCATTCTCAAAATACTGGAAAAGAGATAAACTGAATGTTGAAATACATGGAAGCGAAAACGACAAAGGTGAAGACCTGATTTCAGTAGAAGAAGTTTGCTTATCAGTTGCAAAGCAAATGATGGTTGAAGACTTGTGCTTTGAGGTCTGCAGAGTGAGAAATGGTGCATTGGTACATGAGAATGACCAGAGGGTCGTTCTGATACCACTACTGAGTTTGTAACTAGGATGGTTTGGAGGTTTGAGAATGTAGAAGGGACCGTTTGCCACAGAAGCCATGGCCACTGCTTGAACTCAGCCTTTTTTTGCTGCTTGTGATAGTTTTCTACTGTTTTCTTGGGAGGCCATATTTGGATGATCACAATACTGCCACCTCCTCCCACAACCCAAGTGGTAAATACCAGCCCTTCTTATTTCTTTCCTTTTTGTTTGTTTGTTGAGAAAAAAAAAGCACTTCTCTATTGGCTGTAAACGTCACCGTTTTCCAGCATGAGCTTATCACCACATGTTTCTAGCCAGAAGTAAAGTGCTTCTCCATAGCTAGAACATGGAGTATTTTATAAATCCATAACTCAATCAGACCATACAAAACTGAGGAAAACATGAGCACTCCATTATGAATTATATAGTGCAAGAACAATTACTGTAACAAGAAATCTACTAACAAGCAATTTTATGTTGTCCTTGAAGCAATAAGCATCTCCTTCTTCTGCTTGTAGTACACAAACATTTGATCATGATTAAGGAGGTTCTGTTTGATTGCTGGGTTTTCCTTAAAGTTGTTAATCCAATTACATAATCTAGGGAAGTCATTGGCATGCAGCACTTTGACACCAACCAGTTGCTCAATGACTCCAAAAGAGGAGGCTATAAATCCCAAGGCTAAGTCAGCCAATCCAATTTCATCTCCACCAAAGAACTTCTCTCCTAGAGCTTGCTCTTCTAAGATCTTGAGTAGGTCTTTGACTTCTTTTGCAGCCTTCTCATGTTCTTCTCCATCAGCCATAAAGAATGTAGCAAATGGAAGGCCCTGCTTGATCACACAAATTGAAAATTTCCATTTGATTATTAATGAAGGAAAAAGGCTAATAATCTACGAAAGTAATACATATTATGTTGTCAGACTGTGAATTTGGATGATGTAAAAAGATATAAAATCACCTTTTCGTCTATGAACTTCGTCCAAAACCGCGCTAAGTATCTCTCATGAGGGTCATCTGAAAGCAGGGGATTTTGGGGCCAAGTCTCATCAATGTACTCAAGGATCACAGATGACTCAGCAATAGGTTTCCCATTATGAACAAGCACTGGGATCTTTTTGTGAACTGGGTTATATTGTAAAAGCAAATCACTCTTGTTAGCCAAGTCCTCTTCTATATATTCATATTTCACACCCTTGAGCTCCAGAGCCCATATCACTCTGTAACCATATGGACTAGGCCAAGCTCCAAACAGCTTCACTTCTTCCATTTCTTGTTGAATTGTTTGTGTTCTTCCTCAAGCCCTAGCCCCCATATATATTATGATTCTGGAAGTAGTTTTGAGTGTGGCCCAAGAACATCAATGGGGCTCTGCCTAGTGTAACTCCAATTTTGGATTATATACACGCATTTCTACTTGTCAATTTCGTGGCAAACAGACAGAAAAGTATACGAAATGTCATTACTGCATCAGAACCAATTTACCCTTATTTATTTATTTATATTTATTTTTACAACTTTGTTAAACATTAACTAAGAAAAGAACATAAAAATCAAACTTATAATCAATCCAACTGCCGTAGATTAGTCTTTTAACATAATTATTTATTTATTTATATAAAATAAAAAGTTAGCAGGAAACAACCTATAAATTAGTTTCAAGTGGCAGAAATGATTGAGATGATAAAAACAATTATTGGAACACCCCAAACTACAGGAATTGAAAACTAAGTAGTAAATTTATATGAATTATTATTACTTGGTCAAACAAGACGGCAAATTATAATTAGTAATCTCCACCTAACCTCTACTGAGAGCCCAAGCAGGTTTGAAACTTTGAACTGACTCAATGAGGTATATACCTATATATATAACTCACCAGAGTAAGAAGATGAACACAAACTAGACGAATATGGAAGAAGTAAAGGTACTAGGGTACTGGTCAAGTCCATATCCTTACAGGGTTATATGGGCTCTGAAACTCAAGGGTGTCAAATATGAATATATAGAAGACGACATATACAATAAGAGTGATTTGCTTCTTCAGAGTAACCCAGTGCATAAGATGGTTCCAGTGTTTTTTCATGGTGGAAAAATAATTGCAGAGTCCCCTGTTATTCTTGAGTACATTGAAGAGACGTGGCCTCAGAACCCTCTGCTACCAAATGACCCATATGCAAGGGCCATGGCTCGGTTTTGGACCAAGTTCGGAGATGACAAGGTAATCAAATTTCCCTAATCTTTTGGCTTGTTCTCCTAGATTCATATGAAATGTTACCTTTTCACTGACTGGTTCTTTTGTGTAAGTTAGAGGCCAAACTTTTTTGAGTTCTTTTGGAAAACTGGAGATGAGCAAGCAAAAGCAGTAAAAGACGCCCAAGAACTTGTGACAATCTTGGAACAGCATGGCCTTGGGGAGAAAAAGTTTTTCAACGGTGATGAGATTGGAATGACAGACTTAGCCTTCGGATGGATAGCATTCTGGCTTGAGGTCATGGCAGAAGCAGCTGGTGTACAAGTGCTGGAAGTCAATAGCTTCCCTCGCTTGCAGGCATGGATTAAAAATTTCAAGGAAGTTCCTGTGATTAAAGAAAATCATCCCGATGAGAGCCGCCTGTTAGCCTATATGAAAGAACGAAGGGAGGGGCATGTCAAGATAGCAACTTCTTGATATCCACATGAACCCAATAAGAATAAAAGTTCAAAGATAAATAAATGTAATAGCTTCTACATTCCAATAAGCGAATAGTTCCAACAACATCTAGAGTACCTTTGAAACTCTGCATAAGCTTCACAAACCCTTCATTAACTTCCAAATCATAAAGGTTTATGAAAATGAATTAGCCTTCACAATATTTTTTCTCTAATCAGTGAAATTTGTAGAGGTAGAAATGGAGCGTCATTTCTTTCAAATCATAGACTGGAAGGAGATCAGGTTCTGTTAGAGCATCCACAATGATGCTCTCTATTTCTTAGCTAAAATTTAGCCAAAAATATAATAAAACTATTTTAGAAGCTCTCTAAAAAATTTCAACTCTAACTATACTTCATAATTTGGAGAGTCATTAATATTATACAAATTTATAAATAAACCCAATTCTAGACATGTATTTATAAAAAAATCCAAGCACTATTTAAACATAGAAACACACCCAAAATCAACTCCAAAGTCAACTTTTTGGGTGTGTTTATAAATGAGTTTTAAGTGTGTAATGATGAGTTTTTGGTGTGTTTATAAAGTGTTTTGGGTGTTGGGTTTTTTTATAATTTCAACCTCCATTTTGGGTGTTTTAGTGAAACTCCCTTAATATTATAACTCTTTTTTTATTGATTCATCTCTATTAAAAAATAAAACAAAAAATAGTTAGTATTAAATAAAGATTTGAAATACTCATTAAATAAAGCAGTATTAAATTATATGAAGTCATTAGGAATCATTTCTCTCTCTTCAGATTTAGGAGCTCCTAGAGGATTCCCTATTTTAGGAGGTAGATAGGGAGTATGGTTGTAGTTGTATTTTTACAATTCTTCTTCAAAAATTTGTCTAAAAATATGGTTTAGGGAGCCCATTGTAAATGCTCTAAGTGAATACATGCTGAGTTATGGGGCTAGCTTTGTTTGTTGTCAGACTATGAACTCCGTAAAAAACCATGCTAAGGCTCTGTCATGAGGGTCATCTGAAGGCAGGGGATTTTGGGGCCAAGTCTCATTGAGAATTGTGTTCATTATTTTATTTTAATTTTGTATTTTGCTATATTTGTTTCAATCCTACAATCTCAACTTGATGTTTATTGCACCAAACAACTACTTCCAATCATATCCTAATATATCCAATCCAATTCAGTCAACCATACCGTACGGGCCGCATATATTATATTCTGGGAGAAAAAGCTTTGAAATTTCCTTTTGGAATATTAAACTGGATGTCGCATTTTTCTTCTTGGCTACCTTTTGACCAATTGACATGACTTTTCAAGTAGTTTTGAGTGTGCCCCAAGAACACCAATGGTGCTATGCCTAGTGTAACTCCAATTTTGGATTATATACACGCATTTCAACTTGTCAATTTCTTGGCAAACAAACAGAAAAGTATACGAAATGGCCATTCTTTTATTTTTTATTTTTTATTTATACATAAATTAACTTTTGACCTAACCTTTGAACCAAAAGCTTATAAAGACAAACAAAGCTAACCCATTGGATGGAGCAAGCTAGAAAGAAAGAAAAAACACATCTTCACAGAAAATGGGAGAGGTGAAGCTACTAGGAACATGGCCTAGTCCCTTTTGCTACAGAGTCATATGGGCTCTAAAGCTAAAGGGTGTTAAGTATGAATATGTGGAAGAAAATCTTACGAACAAGAGTGATCGTCTTTTACAGTATAACCCAGTTCATAAGAAGGTCCCAGTGCTTGTTCATGGCGGAAAACCAATCTCAGAGTCTACTGTTATTCTTGAATACATTGAGGAGGTTTGGCCACATAATCCGTTGCTTTCAGATGATCCTTATGAGAGGGCCATGGCTCGGTTTTGGATTAAGTTTGGAGAGGACAAGGTATGTGAGACATTTAAATTTTCTCACGTGACTTTATTTTTGTCTAAATAAAACATATCACATTATTTGACGAATAAATTTGATGCTGATTTTGCAAAATTCGAAGGCCTAAGACGGAACATTTAAATTTTAATATGTTTCGTGCACATTTATTTGGATTTTTTTGCCTTTTGATGAGTAGTCACAAAGCCACTATAAAAACCTAGCAAAGAGCAAGCTTAGTCTTTTAATATCATGTTTAGCAACATAAATATTCTAATAAGAAAAACAAAACACCAAACAAAATATTGAATTGGGCCTGGTTTGATTTATTCATATCTGTGCATTGGGCCTTGCAGATGGCAATTTTTATTGCATATTTTCACTCGGTTGGTGAAGAACATGAGAAGGCAAAAAGAGAAGCGCAAGAAGTGTTGAAAACAATAGAAGAACGTGGGCTTGGGGAGAAGAAGTTTTTTGGAGGAGACACAATTGGGTTGGCAGACTTGACATTTGGATGGATAGCTGGTTGTCTAGGAGAGATGGAAGAAGCAGCTGGTGTCAAGTTGCTAGAACCTAATCTGTTTCCTCACTTGCAGATTTGGATAAAAAACTTCAGAGATGTCCCTGTGATCAAAGATAACCTTCCTGAACATGATGGATTGCTGGCCTATTTCAAATCCCTAAGAGAGAAGTTTACTGCATCAGCAAGAACATAGAATCAGATACATAGTGATTTTAGGATTCGGCAATGGGCCCGCCCGCTCATAGCCGACCGAAATGGGCTTGGACCAATTGGGTTTAGATCGTTTCTTTTCGATCCATGAATCATGAGGCAAATGCTGATTAATTTTAGATGGGTGAGAAAAATAAAGGGGTAAAATAGCCTCTAAACAATGATATTATGTATCAGCTTATCACTAATAGAAATCCCAATAAAAACTTATTATTTTATGCATGGTTTGTTCTGGATATCTTGTGACATAATCACTAACTTGCATACATTTAGAGAGGCACACTTCCGAGTCCCAAAAGTTGAGAGGTACCCCACCCATGTAAGGGAGGTCATATCTTTTTCAATCTTCAATCTCGACCAAAACTCTAAACCAATCCTTAAAAGTTAAAACCATGTACTTGTAGCTCAAGGGTTTAGACTCGTTGGGTATATTAGGGAATGTTAGCAATTTTCTCTCTAACTTTATCTTTTGGATTTTATTTTTTTTTCTCATAACATGTGTCACTTTACTTACACTTAGTACTCGTTTGACATTGCTTATTTAGGGTGGTAAATGATTTTTAAAAAAAATTTAGGAAGCCCAACCTGTTTGGTAAACTATGAGAAAATCACTTATGATTAAAAATTGTTGTGAAAGAAAGCTATAATGGAAAGCAACTAATGAGATACTTTCATTTCTTAATTATGCAAGAATCCGTTTCGAAGAAGTGCTGGGTTTAATGAGTTTGCGGGAATCAATACCAACAACACTTTTAACAAAAAGTTTACCAAACGCCAAACTATTTTCTCTCACAGCAAATCCGATAGCGATTATTTTTACAACACAGCAGTGTCAAACTAGCCCTTAAAACAATGTCATTAATGCATCAAAAAAGCTATATTTTATTTTCCAATTTGCCCTTATCTTTTTTTTTTTTTTCTCAACTTTCTTATCACCTTGTTAAAAAAAAACTAAGAAAAGAACACAAAAACCAATCTTATAATCAATCCAATTGTCGTACGATTAGTCTTTGAACAGAAATTTTTATATATTATAAAAAAAAAAAAAATCAGCAGAAAACAACTTAAAAATTAGTTTCAGGTGGCGAAAATGGATGAGATGGTAAAAACAATTCTTGGAACACCTACATCATTCTAGCCAATTCAACATCAACATACATCCAAATTACAGGATTTGAAAACTAAGTAGTAAAGTTAATATAGATGAATTATTATTACTTGGTCAAACAAGACGGCAAATTATAATTAGTAATCTCCACCTAGCCTCTACTGAGAGCCCAAGCAGGTTTGGAACTTTGAACTGCACTCAATCAGGTATATACCTATATATATACCCACCAGAGTAAGAAGATGAACACAAACTAGACGAATATGGAAGAAGTAAAGGTACTAGGGTATTGGTCAAGTCCATATCCTTACAGGGTTATATGGGCTCTGAAACTCAAGGGTGTCAAATATGAATATATAGAAGACGACGTATACAATAAGAGTGATTTGCTTCTTCAGAGTAACCCAGTGCATAAGAAGGTTCCAGTGTTTTTTCATGGTGGAAAAATAATTGCAGAGTCTACTGTTATTCTTGAGTACATTGAAGAGACGTGGCCTCAGAACCCTCTTCTACCAAACGACCCTCATGCAAGGGCCGCGGCTCGGTTTTGGATGAAGTTCTTAGATGACAAGGTAATCAAATTTCCCTAATCTTTTGGCTTGTTCTCCTAGATTCATTTGAAATGTTACCTTTTTCACTGACTGGTTCTTTTGTGTAAGTTAGAAGCCAAACCTTCTTGCGTTCTTTAGGAAAATTGGAGACGAGCAAGCAAAAGCAGTAAAAGACGCCCAAGAAATTATGACAATCTTGGAACAGCATAGCCTTGGGGAGAACAAGTTTTTCAACGGTGACGAGATTGGAATGACAGACTTAGTCTTCGGATTGATAACATTCTGGCTTGAGGTCATGGAAGAAGCAGCTGGTGTACAAGTGCTGGAAGTGAATCGCTTCCCTCGCTTGCAGGCATGGATTAAAAATTTCAAGGAAGTTCCTGTGATTAAAGAAAATCATCCCGATAAGAGCCGCCTGTTAGCCTACATGAAAGAACGAAGGGAGGAGCATGTCAAAACAGCAACTTCTTGATATCCACATGAACCCAATAATAAGAATCAAAGTTCAAAGATAAATAAATGTAATGAGCTTCTACACCCTTGAGCTGAGCCCGTATCACCCCGTAACCATATGGACTAGGCCAAGTTCCAAACAGCTTCACTTATTTCATTTCTTGAAATTTCCTTTTGGAATATTAAACGGGATGTCACATTTTTCTTCTTGGCTACCTTTTAACCAATTGACATGACTTTTCAAGTAATTTTGAGACCTTTTGACCAATTGGGACATGACTTTTCAAGAAATTTTGAGTGTGGCCCAAGAACACCAATGGTGCTCTGCCTAGCGGTCCTATGTTTTGGAGCTCTAGGCGAACATCCTAAATGAGACTTT